CACACATGCGCTCTCTCTCTCTCTCTCTCTCTCTCTCTCTCTCACACACACACACACACACACACACACACACACACACATGCATGTACACACACATGGATACACGCACTTTCTCTCTCTCTCTCTCTCTCTCTCTCTCTCTCTCACACACACACACACACACACACACACACACACACACACACACACACACACACTCACACACATCTTTGCCGTCCTTGCATGATAGTGATATTTTCTGAAAACACATTTCTTTACTATTACATCTAATGCTAAGCCCTTTCATAAGAGATCGTTTTTTTCCCCTTAGATCAGATGCCCATTGGGCCAAGGCATGATCAGATCAGATCGGGTCGGGTCTGGTAATGGTACTGGCCATTGCACTTTGTGTATCAAAGTGATCTTTGCTTTGCTTCATTAAATTTGTCCTGGAAGTCTTTTAGGATTTATTGCATTCTGTAAGCAATCAAAAAAAAAATCTAACTTCTTAATGTGAAGTTGTTGTAGCTTTCTGATTGGCTGTTTGTCACTGCACTATTTTATCAAAGAGGAAGTGATCGTGGTGACCCAGAAAATGAGACATATTGGATTTTAGAGGATTTGATGAGCTATGAGGGAGAGTTCGGCTGGCCCCAGCTGTATCAAGCCATATCAAATACGGAATAACCAAAACTTTCTGCAATGTGCACCAAAGTCTGTCTGCCTACCTGTCTTCTGCCCGCCCGCCTGTCTGTCTGTTTGTCTGTTTGTCTGTCTGTCTGTCTGTTTGTCTGTCTCCTTCCCTCTCTCTGTATCTCCCCAGTGTCACCCCCACCCCTCTTCTCTCCCTCCCTGCCACTTGCTGTGTCTTTTATTTTCTCTTTGCCTCCTCTGCCCCTCCCCCATCTCTCTTTCTGTCTGTCTCTCTTTCTCTCTTTCTCTCTCTTTTTCTCTCTTTCTCTTTTACTCTCTCTGCCCCTCTCTCTTTCTCTCCCTCTCCCCCCTTCTCTCTCTGTCACTCTTTCTCCCCCCCCCCCTCTCTCTCTCTCTCTCTCTCTCTCAGCATCATGGATTTTTTTCTTTCTCCAGCCCCCGCAGGACGATGTCCCTCCACCCGTCGTACCAGGCAGGACCCCGAACAATGTACCAAGGGTAAGTAACTATCACCTTTCTTTCTTTGTGTGGTAAAATGACTTCATTTGATTATTCAGTGGTTTGAGGGTGCCGCTCCGGAGCTTTACTTTAAAAGACATACATCCAGTTTCACAAAATATTCAGTATAGTTTTAGTGGAGGTTTCACGGCACTGGCAACTGCATAAGATCATATGAGTGCCAGAAGATTAGAGGTGTTACAAGAGAGGAAACAGGAAAAAGAAGAAGGGGAGATAAGGACGATAGATGTTTCAAAGGAAAGAAGAAGCAAACCTCACCAGAGCACCCGCCAACCACCCACAAATATTCAGTAGAGCCAAGAAACCCCACATTTTTGCCTCTGAACAGCCAGTCGCTTTGAATATCTTCAAAACACTTTCCCACCTTTTTTATTAAGATATCGATACCACACTACGGCAGAAATGTGTGCTGTGTTTCAAGCCATCAGGTGGGATCAATAACTCAATTTTGTCCAAAACTTGATTTTATGTCTTTTAAGATAAAACTCCAACACTATTAGATCTTACTGCCTTCCTCTGCCTTTTTTGTTTCAGTCTTGCTTTTTCCTGACACCAAATGATTGTTCTTGAGTGGATGTCTTTCTCTCATACTGAGACCAATGGTTTGATTACTTTCATTCCTGCTCATCAAAGCTAAAATATCTCAATTTGATGTGTAATTAAGATGTTATTCATATAGCCTAGACACTAAACACAAAGTAAGGTCCTGCACATTACTTAAAAGTTAACTTGCAAGATACGAGTATATAAATTTGCTACAAGATACATTGTGTTTTTGTTTGGTGTGCTCAAGTATTTTGAAGTTGTTCTCGCTATGTGATTAGTGAAGCCTGTTAAAATGACCTTCTTGAGGACTGATTCAATATTTATAGATAAGTTATGAATAGGGTATGCCTTGAGCTGGACATGGATATCTACACCAGTTCAAAACAGGTCACTTGTTCTGCCTCGTGCAGGAAAGGTGTGTTTGTATAAGAGGAGGACTCAATGAGATTTGTCAGACTTTATTGAGAGTTCCAGGTGGTTTATTTTTGAAACTTTGAAACTTGGATGAATTGCATTCTGCAGTTATTAAAAGGCAACAGCATGACATCCCTTCATAGGTTACTTTTATTTGGCAGATATATAACAATGATAAAAATAATAATAATAATAGTAATAGTAATAATAGTATTGATAATGATGATAATAATAATAATATTTCTTCTATCAATGTCTGACCATGACCAGTGCTTAGACAGAGAATATTTCTTATAGAGAAGTAGGAGAAATAAAGGTGAAGATGATTTGTGGATTCTGCTTTAGCCAATGAGATCAATTTTGGCTGTGAAGAGTTTGCCGCTTTTTAAGCACTTAAAATATTCATTTCCACACTAATGGATGTGGGCAGCTTGGGGGCATCTCTCTTTGCCTCAGCATTTCATATGAACCGTTTCCCTTCTATGATTGCTGCTCTCCAACAGGTTGTGTCAGGAGCTAGACTCTCCCATGCCAAGGGATGAATGTCCTTCGGTTACATTTTTCACTTGTCTTTGTTACACTTTTTTCCTGTGCCAACTTAATATTTCCCTGAGGACAGCTCAGAATAAGACGATATGTTATATGTTCATTTGTTGTCACCTTGGTAAATGTCATGCCAAGGGTACAGTAGCTGAATGGATGGGCAATGGACAAAACTGGAAGAACTGTATTTGCACACATGACGGCTCTTAACTCAAAGATGCACTAAATTCCGTGAGTAGAAGAGAACAAGTTACTATCTTTCGCCTGCGAACACAACACATTCCACTAAATTCCTACCTAAATAGGATCCACCAGGATGCCCCACCTGACTGCCTACTGTGTGACTGCCAGGATAAAACAGGAGCACACACCTTTTTCCCTGCCCTGCCCTTAGCGACCTGCGTAGTACCTACCTACCTGCTTTCCCAGATATTAGAAATACTCTATACAAAGACCAAACACAGCTGATAAAAACCTGTAAATTCTTTGCCTTATTGACAGGCCGAAGGGCTAGAACTCTAATGGCCGTTGGATTGGAAAAATGAAGTAAAGAAAAGTAAGTCAGTGGCATTCTTTTCAATTTTTTAAGTTATATTTTCTCTCACAGTTTTTGTTTCTAAATCTTTCACTGTCTTTAAATTGTCACACAGAGTGCAACAGCTGCCCCGCCTCTTCCTGCTCGGGTGACGGATGAACACGATAATGGACCAGATGTACGTTTGTCTTTCTCTCTCAAATCCACGTTAAGTATACATGTTGATTTAATTCATTTTATCGGTCAATGGGATATAATATTTATAATAAATATGGTATTTTATGGCTTGAGAAGGACATTACTATGTGAATGATCATTAATGTGTCTTGTGGGTTTTTTCTAGTGATGCTCAATGTCTGGTTTATGGGGTTTTGTATCCTGGTTGCAAGCGGTTTGGGATTTCTTCATAAACAATACGCTGGTTAACTGGGGTGCTTGGAGCTCTAACCCATCTCCACTAAGTTTTTTTACTTGTTGGTCTATTTGACTGAAAGTCTGATGGATTCACAAAGTATTTTTGGAGGCTCTTTAGGGAAAATATAGTGTAAATCTATGTCTCTTAGATATAACATACTAAAGTTTTAAAGAAAAACAAAGAACAACAAATCCAGATTTCATTTTGTTAGTCAAAAAAGACTTATATCTCCATACAAATAAAGAATGGAGAGTGTACAGAACCTGTGTCTACTCTTATATGTTTAAAGACCATTTTCAATAGAGAAGGCTTGTCTGGAAATTATACATTAGAGAATATTGCTTACTTTTATGTCTCAATACAATCCCATTGCTGTGTTGATCCGTTGTTGATATCTTTACTTTTATATTTTTGTCTCTTGAACGTTATCACCAAAGAAATAATGGGGCTCTATCTGAGTGCAAAAAAGTCACCGAAAAGATTGCTAGGAAAGTGCTTTTATTATTCTTTATAAATTGTGAATAAGGTCTTTTTATGCTACTATTGTTAGCAGTTGGTTTGACTTATTTAAGTTTCTGTAAACCTTTACCATTTCAAGAAAGAAATTCAAGCTGTTCTATTTGCTCACTACAATATGTAGGTTGTGGATTTATCGGTCTATCTGCTTCCCTGTGAGAACCAGGTAGGCCTGTTTCAGAGGAATTGTAAACTTGTTTGAAATCGCTAGACAAGTCGAAAACTGTCCTTTCGATATAAGCTTCTCTTTGCTAATCAAGTGCTTTTTTGTGCAGAGATGGCTAAATGTCAATCTGTGCTCTTTTGCCCTCAAGCTGTATTGGCTCAACACTGTATATTTGTACTACTTGTGTGCAATTCATGTTAGCGATATTTTAATCTTTTTAAGTGAACACACACATATTGAAATATTACGTGGGTGGTTGGCAGGTGCTCTGGTGTGGTTTGCTTCTTCTTTCCTATGAAACGTCTATCGTCCTTATCCCCCCTTCTTTTTTTTTGTTTGTTACTCTCTTGTAACACCTCTAATCTTCTGGCGCTTATATGACCTTATGCAGTTGCGAGCGCCGCAAAACCTCTACTAAAATTAAACTGAAATATTACTACCTCAGGAAAATAACGGCAACCTACAATTAATTGCCTCTGACCGTACCTCTTTGCCTGTACACTACACTCGTCTATGTGGTCCAATGCACTAATAATATTTATAATGTCTCAAAGGAAGAAATATATCCTCTGTTGTTATAAGATATTTTAGACAGGAAAGTACTTTCAGAAACAATCCAAGGTCACTTTTCTATAATAGAGTTTGTCCAAATTATGTGAAATTTTGTATTGACCCGCACTGTTGGTCTGTGGAAAATTTCTTTCTGTATGGCCGGGTGATGGACACCTTTTTGTCTGCTAAGAATGAAACAAGGATGTCTTCGTTAGATACCTTTTGCTTTGTCCCATTCCATAACCTCGAACAGAAGTTAAGCTAAAAAGAAATATAGATTTGTTTCGTTTATTCTGATATATTATTAATGGTTTGCTTAAGAAATGTGAAGCTGGTTGGACGATTTTGAACGCTTAAGTATGGTCTGGCTATGAAGTCATGAATAAGTATGTGTTAAGTTTATTCTAAAGCCATACTTTTCAATTTCTCAAGAGTTGTGGGCAGAGTTGTAAGAGAATTTTGGTTAAAACCAAGCACGCATGTACACACTTATACCACTGGCAGTCCTCTTTCAGGTTGTGAGGGATTTAAAGATAGCTTTTGTGAGGAAGTTGTTTCAAATGTGTTCATCTATATGAATGGTTTGGATGTTAAAAATTGTCCAGAATCATTCATGAAACACCATCACATTGTTATCTGTTATCTATAATCTGACCTCAATCAGGTATAAGCATTTCGCATTTAAGGAGAATATAAGTGCAATATAATTTATTTTTCTTTACAAAACCATATTTATCGTTTTTCTCTCCTTCAGTATCATGCTGTTACAATAGGAAGCTGAACAATTCTTCTGACATGGTTTATAGATAATACGTTTGCTCTATCATGGAGCTTATGGCCACCACTTATAAATCGCACAGTGTTACTGTGAAAAAATAAAGATAATATTCTAATTGTACTTTCAAATATTGTGTCGCTCATCCTTCATTTTTAAAAGTTTCATCAGTGGCATATCGTATAATGTTTTACTTTCAAAATTCCGCTTTTAATGCAAAATAATACTTGGCGTTTTGCAGAAAGTGTCGTCCTTATCCCTCCAACTCCTATTATTTGTATGTTACTCTGTAGTATGGCCTCTAATCTTAAGCAATTACATAACCTATCTGTGTTGGAAGAAAGTGTCGTAGCATTCTAACTGAAAGTAAATTAAAACGAAAATGTTCACTCTCAAGAATTCTAGGAAATGTACTCCAAGAAAAAAAAATAGTAGCGGTACCGTTATGTCAGTCGGCAGCGTGTTCAATTTTGTTGCAGACAACCCAGTTTGGAATGCTCAATGGGTTGTACTCATACTCATGGCTCAGTCTGTCTATCTATCTGTTTGTCTGTTTGTCTGTGTCGCTCTCGCTCTCGCTCTCTCTCTTGCTCTCTCTCTCTGTCTCTCTCTCTGTCTCTCTCTCTCTCTGTCTCTCTGTCTGTCTCTCTCTCTCTCTCTCTCTCTCTCTCTCTCTCTCTCTCTCTCTCTCTCTCCCCCTCTTGGCACAGTTGCATCGGAATTGGACGTCACATCAGGGTTAAGGCGTCTGGAATAACATTTCTGTGTGAAAAGCGGTTTTTAACATATCAGAGAACAATTCTGGGACCGAATGTTAAAGATGTATCTCCCCACAACCCAAAAACCTAGAAGGTGTTTATTTCTGGCATGACACTATGATATATCATATGATTTTGTATGATTTTAAATGAATGAAAGGAATGCCCCCCCCCCCACCCCCCCATATAAAATCAAAGCCCCTCTCAACCCACCAAAAATGAACCAACATGCCCCCCTCCTCTTCCCTGAGAAAAAAAGAAAGAAAAAGAAAACTCATCGACAAACAAAAGTCAAAGCTGTAAACGACATGCTTAAACCAACAAAGGTTGTGCCCATGCCTGTGTTTTGTTGGTTCGTTTCTAAGGACACATATGAAGACATGAGTCGGCCGGACGAACCAACGCCCCAATGTTACGGAGCTCGGCCTGAGGTACGACCAAGCACAACTCTGCTATCTAATAAAAGCCTGTGCAGTGCAATTTCTACTTTTCTGGGAAAGGGGGTGTCTCTGCTTTTCGAGCCATACATTTTTGCCTCTCTGTAAAATGGAAGTGTCTATGCTATTCACAACCGTGTGTAAGTTTCGTTTCATTCTCGAATTGAGATTCACTTGCATGGATTTTGTATCATGTGAACAGTTTGTGTGCGTTGAATTGTCGAACAGCAAAAGTTAAATGCTTGCGAAAAAAACAACAAAAAACGTGTTTTACTACTGCAGACGCACCTGTTTAAGAATCGTGCCTGAAGTATGTGCCTCACTGATTGCTTGTTAACATCTACTTAATCTTAAATGGCTAATATAGATTTTGTCTCAGTGTGTTCGTTGTTATGTTGTTGTTTTTTTCCTCAAAAATAGTTTTACCTCTACTTAATCTTAAATATCCAATCTTGATTTTGTCTCATTGTGTTCATTTTTATGGTGGTTTTTTTTCTTTAAAAAGTATATTTTTTCTTCCCTCGCTCATGTCAGATGTTCTTTCGTGCTATTTAAGGCTTATCAGGCATTGCTTTTAAAGGAGTCAGAGTGCTGTTAACAAGTTTGCCGTGTTACGTTTGGCCCAGTACTGTTTAAGCGTGACCATTTCTACTTCTAACCATAGTCTGTCCATGACACTTTCACCTTAATGTCGCTACCTCAGAATCACAAAGTTCTATCTGCTCAGTAGGGCCTACCTAGTCTTGAAAATTTTGACGTAAAAATATTGAGTTTCGTTATATTTCAAACTTTTTTAAAAGCAATTTTTCGAATGTCTGAAAACGGATCCGAATAATCTTACGATTTTGATAGAGCAAATAGAGCGTTTGGTTTCTGGCGTCATGGTCTTAGTAACTTAAAACAGCCAAAAATATCAGATCGATCTTTGTAATTCTGAGGTAATTATGTGTTTCAATGTTACCCAGCTGTGTACATTTTATAGTTTATCTTCAGTAGTCATGTTTTGTGTTTGTTACTCTCTTTTAACACCTCTTATCTTCGGCACCTATATGACCTAATTGTGTTGCAAGTGCTGTAAAACGCTCACGAAAACAAACAAAAGAGAAAGCCTCAAGTATTGGAGGCCTTCTTTGAACTCTTTCATTTTGTACTATAGTTATAAGCCTATTATATATTTTATCTAAGATGTGATATTGTCACATACATGTCCTCAATAGCTTGAGATTTAATTATGATACCATTGGTTTTTGTCCTTCATTGTTGTGATAGAAATTATCCAGCTAAATTGGTACGAGTGTTTTTCCTCATGCTTTGATTTATAGTGCGGTCAAATTTTTGCGTCAATTCGTCTTAACTTTATCAATTTTTTTTCCAAAACAATTTAGGCTAGATTTTAAGAAATTTTCTTCATAGATTTATATCAAGTACTAGAGTTCCCCGTCATGCGTAAAATTGGATTGTTCACAGCACTTTCCGCTTCTCACACACATTTTGCACACGCATATGGCCTACCTCACAGACCACATATGACACGTTTAGTCGCAAAACTTGTTACAAGAAATTAATTTTATAGTGAACACCCGTTATGCACTAGAGGTGTTCAATAAGCTTAATGTCGCAATTAGAAAGATATGACGGACTTGTTTTGCCCCTGCTGTAAACCTTTTAAAATCTGTAGAAACCACCCATTTGGATTTTTAAATTAGTATTTATTAAGGGATTTTCTAGAATACAGCTAGCAGGTGTTTACAAAAATGTTGATCTGCCAATACAAATTGACAAGTTGGAGAACATATGTTCCATAGTTAAGGAGGTATTTGACAATAAGTTGCGCCAGAAATTTTTAACCGCACTATTGGATACAATGCAGGGTAAAAAATACTCGGTGCCAGTGCACAAAATTATTGCCTTTAACTCCACCACCTGCCATGTTTATTATCCTTTGGAAGTTGTAGGCATGCTTCACACGTTATTATGCATTGGCTTTTTGCTAGCTTGTAGAATGCGCAGCGCATTTCATTATCGAATTTATAACGCAGAAACATCATGTCTGCAAGCGTTGAGACTTTGTGTTATTTTAGACTGTTTTTAATAAAAGTAACAATGTGGCAGCTTTTCTTTTGTTTGATTCATTCGAATCTCCCTTAATGGGCCTGGAAGGTACAACCAGTTCGTTTTTTAAACATGTCTACATTATGTGGTCCTTGGGACATCGAACAGCTGTGAACTGATTCCTTCTATTTAAAAAGCGCTCCCTGTGTGGAAGAAAGCGAAATATACGATTTGCCTTTTAATGCAGTCTTTAAGTTTGTCTTTTTGTCTTTACCAGAGTCTGGTGTAGCGGTATAGCGCTTTGCCGTCGCACGCCGAAGCGCTTTTCCCTTTCGTCAACCCGCAGCCACCTCCCGAATCGTCAGCCTTCACCCAACCTTTGACACGGGTCAAACTTCCATCTATTTATAGGTAGTTAGATCTACCGGAACATGTATTAGGCGAAGTCATGTGCAATGATAGTCGCAATAGAGAGATTGTTTTGGTCTCTCTTTACTCATCTGCACAACACGAATTTAATTGATGTTTTTCCCTGGACTCTGCCTTTACTAAAGTCTCGAATCTAGATCTAGTTGTAATCTAGTTGCAGGTTGCAGATTTAATAAATTGCCGACAGAGAAAGAGAGGGAGAGAAGGGGGAGGAGTAGATCTTGCGAGTAAGTTGCGAGAACTTCCGGGCAAAACAAAATGGCGACCCGCGTAGTTCAGCTCGATTCGAAAAGTGAAAGAGCCATAGCATCTTTGTAGACGATCAAATTAGCTTACTTTTGTGCTATAACGTCATTTTTTTCTTTGCTTTTGTCAATTTGATCATCCACACCGATAGAAAGTATTTCGAAATTAGGAAAAACAGGTCTTGTTTCACACCGGGTGAGAATAGCCAACGCTAGCAAGTCTCACCCGGGGTGAGAGGTCAATCGTAGGGTTTTTCTCACCCAGGGTGAGGATAACCAGTCCACTTCCTTACTTAAATGATTAGGTGATTAAACTTGATCTCTTATTGACAATATAAAAGTCAATTTAAGCTTCATTTCGTTAGAAAAAAAATGTGTTAGGTTTGCTAACTTCTTAGACTTTGTGTTAAACAACACTGTTAACAAAACGAATCTTTACAAGCCTAGGCTTGGCCTTTGTAATCTCGAAGGTTTAGAAGTAGAAGTAGAAGAGTCTACTGCTAAAGTCTAGAGTCTAGTCCTATTATTTAATCTCTTGAATGTACATGTACTGGATAACAGAAATCTGCAACCTGCCACTAGATCTAGATTACAACTCTAGATCTAGATCTAGATTCGAGATTTTAGTAAAGGCAGGGTCCAGGGAAAGACTTCAAGAAATTCTCATGGTGATGAGTAAAGAGAGACCAAAACAATCTCAATAAATAATATATCGCGACTATCACGGCACATCACTTCACCTATACATGTTCCGGTAACTACCTATAAATAGATGGAAGTTTGACCCGTGTCAAAGGTTGGTAGGCCTGTGTGGCTGACGATTCGTTAAGTGGCTGCGGGTTGACGAAAGGGAAAAGCGCCACGCCGAAGACCACACAAAAGACCGCAATTCAATTATTGAATTTTCTTGTGCGAGGAGAATTTTTATTGAGCATTTTTGCTTTTCTGCTTGATCATTGTGTTCTCCTCGACCCAGGTTGGTCATGACAGGCAGGGTCGGAGCCCACCTCCTAAATGATTTAAATTGTGTTGATGGGGCGTAAAAAACATACATTTTTTAATGTTTGAAAGGCGATCTAGATGTGAGTAGATATCTCACAGGATCAGTTCACTCGTAGTGTTTTGGCGGCCTGTGCTTTGGTCTAGCTGGATAGTTGACAATATAATAGATGTTGAGAGAAGATGGAGCCTCTTTGCTTTACGGATTGTGGTATTCTTTGCTGAATAAAGATTTGGGTGTGACAGCTAAGTCTTATATATATACACATATTTTCTTCGTCCTTAAGTTAAGAAATTCGAATTCACAAATGTCTACTGTCTTGTCATAAAATGGTGTTTGTTTTTTAAATATTATTTCTGTTCTTAATGCTATGCTATACTCTTTAAAATGCCACACCCAATATTTCCTTGGCTGCCTTATTGAGATACTGATTCTTGATTTCTTGTTTGTTGTCATGATAATTTGCTTTAGTGTTAGGCCTCCCCTTTTCACATGTCATGCTTTGTTTTCTGCACTTTTGGCCTGACTTTGAAAAATGGATGAATATGCATTTAATAAAATTACCTTATTCCCTGCAGGACTTGAAACATCATATGGAGCAGCTTTATGTGCACATGTATCCTGGGCTAAAACATAATATTATTATAAAACTTTTCCTTTTACAAACACTCGTCGTATTGAAGCATTTTTAATCGAATGGTCTTTTTGTCTCATATGCTTTCCTGTGTCGTTCTCATACATGTACAAATACAAGTGACAGTAATACCTCAACTTCCACAACCTAGATGAAGCGATGTGTAGTTAGTACTTGATGGGTATTTTTCACCATATGGAATGTAATAATATGTGTTCTACACTTTGAAGATTGTGCACTGCGATGAGATTTACCTTGGCATCCATGCTTGCATGCACTGCTTGGATATTTGGGAATATTGATTGTTTGAGCTGCTGTAAGGGTGACATTTTTGTCCTCTGTTAGGACAACACCCCCCCCCCCCCCCCCCGCCCCGCACACACACACACGTACATTCAGTCGCTTGGACCATCACGCTTTGGTCATGTACAATAACAATGTGGGCTTTTCAGTTCCCTGTTCCTGCTTTACCGACAATAATTTTGTTAAAAAGATTATTTTCAGGGGCCATGTGCAATTGTCAAATATAACCCTCTCCGACATACGTAGCTACTGTTTCCTTTGAGTACATGTACCTTGAACATTGCCATGTTCACAAAAGGTGCACTTGTAGACATTGAACTGCACGAAAGGCTGTATTTGTTGGAAGGCCAACTCGCATGCATTTCCTTTTCGGATTTTTGGTTGATTGGATTTTGCTGGCTCTTATAGGGTGCATCTGGTAGATACCATGGTGGCCATGTCGTTGGGTAGCCTTTCGTCCGCACCGCCTGTTCTCCACTCACCAAGTTGGTTTTGTGCCCCAGTGTTTTTGTTCGCACGGCTTGGGATTGAGGATAATAATGTGACTCTACTTTCCAGAAAAGCATTGTTTGATAGGCACTTGCTAATAGCATGGCCTGTTGGGGCAGTACGCGCATCTCTATAATATTCTCCTTGTACTTCTCTCCACTGTCACGAGTGTCCTTTCCTGAGCTTGCTGAGATGTACACGTATCTGTGTCTGTGGTTTAGTGTTTAGTGTTTTGTTGTCGCACGCAGTAGACCCGAGTTCCATCGCCGTGAGGGGAGAATTTCTGTCTAGTATTTTGGTCTTTTTGCTTGGACGGTGTATGTGTCAGCCCATGTTTAACTGACAGGTAGGATGGAATCTTGCTTCTTACAATGATCTAAATTGTGTCGATTGGAAAACAACAACAACAACAACAACAACAACACACACACACACACACACACACACACGCGCGCGCGCGCGCGCTCGCACACACACACACAAACGTCATTTAATTTCAAAATCTTTTCTGAGTATCATGCGTAACGCACCAGTGCCCTGAGTGCAACAACAGCGATGACATCTCAGTTACGGCGTCAGAATGAAGATGAAGAGCTTGCTCCCTCACAGTTGTGTCAGCGTTGTGAAATCGGGCGCTCGTCCAGTCAAAGAAACCGAAGAAACCGACATTTTCTGCCCATTGATCAATTTTCATTTTTTTTTTTAAACTTAATTTTTTTAGTTCAGCATCTTTTGTGTCCACTTAAAAACACGTTTCTGTATAGATTTCTCTGTAAAATGATGACCAAACGTTGGCGGCCATTTTCTCGCTAATTTTACCTCTTACACTAGACGACCACCACTTCTTTCAGCGTCACATATTTTGACTTCTATCCATGATATATAGGTATTTCTCATCTGAAGGAAGCCAAATGAATACGCTTTATTATGATACCTTGCCAAAAATTGACGAGCGCCTGGTTCCACCATGTTTTGACACAATTCTGAACTCCTCATGGTTTGATTTGCAACAGCTATCAGCATGGCCGAGGCGTGCAGTGTCCACCTTCTCCCAACACCCGATTCCTGCTAGACAGCAAACTGGGATCCTGCAAATATCATTTTCTTTGTCCTGCAGTGAGGTGTTACACTTCTACCAGTAGAAACAACTCAAAAGAGTTCATTTTGCTTATGAAGTGCTTGCTTGCGTGCTTAGCACTTTATATACGTCTGATTCTGAAATCCTCACCTTCATCTAAAGTGGAAGTTTTGAACCTGCGCTTTGGCAAAGACATGTTTTCTTTGTCTTGTTGGATGGTTTGTTGAAGACACCAATCTAACAAACGAGCGTGGTCCCTGTTGCTGCTTGTGGTGTTCAAATTGTAGTCCACATACCCCGAGTTATGAAATTCACATCTTCGTTTACGTGAGATTCACTTCCGCACAAATGCTTGCATGCAGTACACAGTCAGTCTCATTCAACTCTTCTTCGGGTTCTGAAATTTTCATCTCCGTTTAAGTGAGATTCACTTCAGCACAAATGCTTGCACTTGCTTGCAGAGCACATTCAACCTCATTCAACAATTCCTCGGGTTCTGCAATCGTCATCTCCATCAACAGGATACGCCTCGGCGTGGCACTTTTGGTCGAGGTGATCTTGTTAGCCCGGCACACGTCCGCTCCTGGAACTCTTTCGGAGCGACTGATTCTCATACAAGGAAGTCGGGAGCTCAAGCGTTGAAGCCGAACGTTCCGAAGTTGGCCGGCCAATCGTTCAGCTATGGGCAGAAGAAAACTGAGAGATCGTCCAATTCTATCGTCGAACGTTTGACTCGGGCCTTAGAGACGAGACAGCGAAATAAGAGCCGTGAGGAGGAGAGACCTCTGGAAGAAATGGTTTATATTTATTTTATCATATCTTTTGTTTTGATAACGTAAGATGGGGTAGTTGGAGAGAGTTATTGTAAAGTCCTATTCATTTCTTTCCCTCTATGGTTTCGTTTGTCTGCCTTGCTTTTTCCATGCTCTATTCTGTGACCGTTATTGTGTGATCTGTTCGTTTTACTCATAACTTATTTGTACTTGTTCTTCGAATTGTTCCTGGTGGTTGAAGGGCGCCACTGGTAAGTCCTACATCTTTACTTTCCCTCTGTTTTTTCCCCCATTTATCTTATTTTTTCACTGCGCTAAGTGGCCATTTTTGTGTCGGTGCGTTTCTCTTCACTCAAACAAACAAACAAACAAAGAGAGAGATAGATAGATAGATAGAGAGAGAGAGAGTGAGTGTGTGTGTGTGTGTGTGTGTGTGTGTGTGTGTGTGTGTGTGTGTGTGAGAGAGAGAGAGAGAGAGAGAGAGAGAGAGAGAGAGAGAGAGAAAGAGAGAGAGAGAGTAAATGAAAAGTTTAACTGTTATGTAGCTTGACATGAGGTCGGGGGAACGATGACGTCCCTGAGTTCATTCAACTTCTTCCCTCGCAGAACACAGATTAGCAATTTTGTGTGTGCATTAGATTTATAATTACTCTCTTTGATTTTTGCTGCTGTTTGTAGACATGTTACCTGAGGTGATGGTTTACCTTGCAGATTTTTGGGATGAATCAAGAGATCCAGATTTCTGGTATTGTCCTGATTTTTCACTTTAGATCTATATCATGAAAATAGTCTTGATACAAGATTCAACATACTGTAGGATCCGTACATTTTGATTACCCTTGCACGAGGCCCCGCGGGGTCCTGAAAGTTCAGGATTATTGGTTGTTGGTTGTTTTTTTTCATTTTAGTAATTTAGTAGCCAATTAGCACCTCTGTAATCCCCGACAGGGCTTTATTTTAAAAAAATTTTTAAAATTTTAAACATCCGTTGCTTGGGACGTTTTCGTCCGTCTCATCCCTCATGGCTCAGTTCCATCACAGGTGGGCGTGGGCGGTTGGCAGATGTTCTGGTGTGGATAGCTCCTTCTTTCCTCTCAAACTTCCTACATATCGTGCGTATCTCTTCTCTTTCTTTTCTTTGTACGTTACTCTCTGGTAACACTTTTAATCAGCTGCACTTGTGTATAGTGGCCTATTTGTCTTGCAACTATTGTAAAAACTCTAAACTGAACTTAAAGTTAAACCTATCCTTTTTTTGTCAGCCACAATGTAGATAGACCTTGGATGTGATGTTCTGCCTTCTGAATAACGTAACCCTTAATGTGTTCAGAAGGGTAAATGGCATTTGTGTCATTCCAGACTCACTTTGTTGATGTGATCTTGGAATGACATATGCTTGGTTTTCGCCTTCTGACGTGAAATGGTGGATGCCTTTGGTTTGAATTCTAACTTTTTCTTTTCAGAGAATGTTTCAGTAGAGCTTATTAAGGATAGCTAGAATTCTTTGACATAACCATCGCTTTGCTTGTACTTGTATCAAGTTATATGATTTGATTGAAGAGCAGGTTATACCCCTTCTGTGCCTGATTATGCTTTGAACATTCCCCTATCCCCCCCCCCCTAAAAATAAAAAAAATAAATAAAAATGAAACGGAAAAATAAATGAATAAAATACCCCCTCCCCCAAAGAACCCACTCCAGAAAAAAATGTCCAACAACAACAACAACAACAACAACAACAACAACAACAACAACAACAACAGCGACTATAAAAAGGTTTATCCACTACCCC